AAACTTATGTCTAAAAATGTATAGTTTCATGCATCGGTTGCATTTGTTTACCTTTTAGCTAAACCACTTGTTCAGCTAACTGTTCAGTCAGGGGTCTCTGCACCTTCTGACCCTGCATCTGTTCCTACTGGAGCCTCAGGAGAGGCCATCCAGTACGCTCCCACGCCGCCATCTGTCTCCGTTGGCAGTTCAGGAGAACTGTTCCAGCTATCTGTCTCATCTTCGCCAGAGGTCCCTACACATGCTGGTCCTTTGTCTGTTCCCGCTGGGGGTTCTGGAGAACTGCGCCAGCTGTCTGTTTCCCCTGGGGGTTCGAGGGGCCCGTTCAGCCGCATGTCTCCGTTGGAGCGTCTGAGGAGCCGCTCCAGCCATCTTCCGTCTCCGTTGGAGGCTCCGGGGAGTCCATGCAGCCAGCCCTGGGTCAGCTTCCTGAACTGCCTGTGTGGATTCGGTTTTGGTTCTGCTCCAAAAAACATTTGGCAGAGGTGGAGAAAGCTCTTGGGTGTTACCCATCTGTGAAGCATTTTACCATCCAGCATTGCAGGGCATTGTAAAAAATGCTAATCGAACTTTCAAGAGTAAAATAGCCAAAACAATATTTGTATATAAGAAAATTCATGGCCGATTTGTCACATCCAAAATGGATTTATGTAATAGCAAGCACTCGTCCACGGGACTGTTTTTTTTTTCCTTGAAGGTAGTCAATCAGTAAAAAGTAGAATACAACTAGTAAGGGCATATGTTATTGATGTTGTGCCGCAAAAACGAAAGACAACATTTAACTCATTGAGTTTAACCCTGATAGATCCAATTATAATGTACCATTATACCCAGAAGATCGAGAGGAATTTAAATGTATACTAGCTTTGCATAGTCAACACATGACTGATAACTGTTCTGTCCTGAGCTTTTGTTTCCTATAGCACCCGACTTGACCACACCATCAGTTTTCATACCAAACGAGGGTAATTATACATGTCTGACACGGAGGAATCTTACCAAAGTGGGAGAGATAAGCCCTGACTGGGGTAACAACACAATGAATGACTTTATGGTCAAATTCCTCAAGATTTTGATATCATGGGTAGATTTGTTTTGATATTGTGGAGGGAAAAGGCTGTTAAATTTCCTCCCTAGTATCTCGTTAGGTACCAGTTGGGACTGCCAGTAACAGTTATAGGACATGGGCAAAAGGTACAGCAGTCCAGAAATCTAAGTAGACAGTCTATATTAGGCAATTTTGATCTTACACAAAATTCTCTAACATGTATGGATGCAATGGGAATACCGAGAGGAGTTCCAGATGAATATAAACTGGCAAACCCAATAGTTAACAAGTTTGAATCCACAGTACTTTGGTTAACACCCAATAAGATTTCTTGATGCATGCGCAATCATCCAGCTAAGTAGATTCCAAAAGGTTGATCCTGTACATCTGTTTTCAGTGGGAGAAACGTTTCAGCACTTATCCAAGTGATTTCTTCAGTCTCAGCTGACTGCAGGTTTCCCCAACCTCATAAACAGTACATTTGCACAATAACTGAAACAAGCCCACTGAAAGAACAATGGACTGTGAGGTCAATTCCTTGATCACGGAATTTTTTGCTTCTGGTGTCCAGGTGCCGAGGCATTGCTGAGCTTGATAAAACAGTGCCCATTTCCTCTTCAGTGACTGATGCTACTGATATGGGCAAGCTGCTATGCGGATGTGAGGAAAAGATAGATTCTAAGTGACTATCCAGCGCATCCACATCCACTTGCAACAGGATTTTGCCCACAATTGTTGCATTTAACAGAATTTAGGTAAAAAAAAAGTGTTCAAAGACAAACTTTGAAAGAGATCCACAAACACAAATATGTACATATACAGAATTTATTTGATGTTTATATATTATTTGAGTAAAATGTTGCAATAGTGATACAGATTACATGTGTGATATATATTGCCTGTCAATTTAAAAATTATACCATTCCATAAATTTGAGGGCATTTAAAAAAATGTAAATAGTCTATGGTAAACATATCTAGATCTAAACATGATGTGCATATGTGTATGGTTTTTTTTTAACTTTACAGCAAAGAAATAGTTTACTTTAAAAATATACACTTACCTAAACTTGATTCAGCCTTAAACTTACAGATGTAGCCAGGTGACAGGTCATTTATGATCTTGTCAAAAATCCACACTGTAATTGCATTAAAATGAAAAAAAAAATTGATTTGCAGTTCAGATGTCTGCACTCCAGTTACACTGGTTAAAAAAAAAAAAAAAACGAAAACATGGGCATATAATATTCTGAGAGTCCGGATTACTGAGAGAACCTTCAGCTTTATTTACACCCACTGCTGTCCGACTCATTTCTGCTGCTAAAAGAGTGCTGTAAACACAGAGCTTTAATCCAAAGACTGATCAGTGCACTGAGTAATTTGGCCACCTGTATCATCTGCCAGAGCCCTCGTATAAACTCCCATCAGACCTTGTTTAAGCCCATGCTTCATTTTTATCCCCATGCAAAAGTAAAGCAGTGGGTTCACACAGCTGTTAAAGAAGGCAATGCTCTGTGCTACAGTAAACCAGATTTTCAGCACAGCATTATCACCATTGATCATTCTCACAAGTTGGAGGCAGTGATAAGGTGCCCAGCACAGGAAGAAGGCAATGACCAAACATGCTAGTACACGCAGAGACCGGGACTTTGCCACCAAACGGGTACGTCTGATGCCCACACCAGCCAGGATGTAACAGATGAGAATGACCATGAAGGGAAATATGAAGCCACACAAGAAACGGATGGAATAGAGAGCAGCTTTGGTGCTGTTGTGAGCCTCTGCCATCTTTTTTGGGTTCATAGAACATTTAGTCAGGTTGTTGTCGTCTATGTAAGTTTGTCGATGGATGAAGTAGGGAATGCTGAAGAGGATCGCTGCAATCCAGACGCAGACTGCTATCACCCTCGCTGTCCACAGGGTGCGTCGACGCTTTGTGAGGACAGGCTGCCAGATGCAGAGCACTCGATCCAGACTGATCACAGCCAGCAGGAACACAGAGCAGAACATATTGGTGTATTTGAAGAAGCCATAGAACTTGCAGAGGAAGAGGCCAAAAGGCCAGTGGTCTGACAAGAACAGCCGAGTGAGGGCGAAGATTCGTGTGAAGCAGAAGATCAGGTCTGCTATCGCCAAATTCACCAGCCACACATTGGTGATCGTCAGCTGTTGATGTAGAAGAAAATAAAAGATGGAAAAAAGAAGAGAGTAAAAAAACTAGAAAATAGTAAGTATGGGATCAAGACTGGGATCATGTTATCTATGGAGATTTCTTTATGTCAAAAGCTGTGCATTAAAAAAACATATAACCACAAGCAGATAACATCACTTCAAAGGTTTAGGTATTATTACCACATATGAAGTTAAATTTCTTGTGTGTCAGTTCAAAAACCTGCATGTATAGAACTCAACCACAAGGAAGCCATTGCACACCGGAGTGTCTGCTTTGCGAAAGCTACAGATTAATGCTCTCAGGTAATGCTAGTTTTATAAGATAGGACAGCCAGACTAAGCCTGGAGGCTTCCTGTGAAGCAAATTAGGATTCAGAGTCACCTGATCAAACGCTAACTGTATGCTTATATAAGCAATCTTGAAAATAGAGATTTTTCAAGGTCTTATTCAAGATCTTGTATTCAAGAAGAAGGATTTTAAAGTAGGTTCTGGATTTAACAGCGAGCCAATGAAGAGGAGTCTGTATGGGACAAATGTGCTCTCTCTTTCTAGTCCCTGTTGGTATGTGTTTGCATCACCTCTGAAAAGCTGCTTCTTCAATAAGCTTCTCGTATGATACAGGAAACATCTTCAACTTAGTTAAAAATGATCTGTGGTTGCAAATGTCATCCAAAGTTAGTCAACCTGTTACTTTGTACTGTAAAAGGATGTATTTTGGTCCATTCTTAACCCCAAACAAGTATTTTTTATACCTAAACCTGAAAGATAAGGGCAGCCGCAGATCAGGAGGTGGTTTGATCCCTGGCTGCTCCAGTCTGCATGC